GGAATCAATAACAAAGGTAAGATCAAAGAGATTGATGAATTTTCCTTAGATGAGCTTTGGCTTGTCATCAGGAAGAGAACAAGACAGCTGGCAATTTATTTATTTATTTACTTACTTACTTATTCTATCTTTATTACTTTGTTAATACAGTCTTTGGAGGTCAGATTTACAAAGGTGATCGATAATTTCACTTTGTGCTCCTAAAGAATCAAAGAATCTGCATAAAACCAAAGTATAATTAGCTGCCAACTAACAAGGAATCCTGAACTTCTTTATCCAGAGCTAAGGTCACTCAGTTGTATGAGGCTCATTTCTAAATTAATTTGTTTAAAATTATAGTGCAAGTCCCAGTTATAGAACTATGCTTTATCTTGTATGAATTATGTCCATCTTTCCATCAAACTTGGTATTTTAAAGCTTTTTACCAATCTATACAAATAATGAATGCAATCTATATAAACAAAATATAATAAAGTATAAAATTTGGAACTCAAAACCAATGTATTTTTGGTTTTTGCCTTGTATTAGCTTCAAATCCATTAAATAATGCATGACAAAAAATAAGCAGAGAAATAAATTAGTAAAATAATGGCATTTTAATTCATATTTATTTCTCTCTTTTAAGCTTACAACTGACAACCATTAATCAACATACAAAACCAGTGAAGATTGTAAAGCAGAGGTGGTATTCAGCAGGTTCTGACCAGTTCTGGAGAACTGGTAGTGGAATTTTGAGTAGTTTGAAGAACCGGCAAATACACCTCTGACTGGCCCCACCCCCATCTATTCTCTGCCTCCCGAGTCCCAGCTGATCAGCTGAGTCTTTTTTTGTTGCCCTGCTCAGGAGAACGGAGCTGGAAAGCAGGTTAGTGGGGTAGGGAGGGAATGGGGATTTTGCAATAACCTTCCCCCAGGAGTTTTGAGGGAATGGAGATTTTGCAGTATCCTTTCCCTGCCACACCAGCAAACCACACCACGCCCACCAAGCCACGCCCACAGAACCGGTAGTAAAAAAATTTGAATCCCACCACTGCTGTAAAGAACTCACAATCTTGCATAAACTTTTGACTAGAGTTGAATAAAGGCTTTGTTCTACAATGGATGTTGGTTTCCTTTTTTTTTTTAACAGCTGTTATTATTTTTAACAATATCTTACAAAATAAGATATTTTGTATACTGTGTTTTTGGATGAGAAACTACAATTTGCAGTGAATGTTAGGAAAGCTGTATGATGCAACAAACAATATGGATCTGAAAATCAAATGCATTGATGATCAAGGCTAGGGACAATGGAATAACACCTCTATGTGAGGGATCATTTTTGTTTCATCTTTATGTCACAGTTATGCCACAGAGGAACAGGAATGGTGTGATTTGTCCCATCAAGGAGTTATGTGTCACTCACAGGCCTTGGCAGGGTTTTTCAACAATAGTCTAGAAATGTCCAGAGTTTTCTGAGCACACGTAGGAGCTATGCAGATGCTTCTTTCGGTTTCGAAACAAGGCCTTGTAGCAGTATGCAACAAAACAATGCAGCCACTTCCCTTTGCATTTAGAAGTGGGGTTTGAAGGTTATTTAATGAAGCAGCTTTGAAGGCTGTTCTGCAACATGAAAGCAAAGCACCCCCTCCAAGTTTTGCACAGCCACATTAAGTATAGAATGCTGTCAACAAAATTTTGTTTTGAAACCTACCGAGAAGACTCCAGCAGGAGTCTCTTCCTGCTGAAGTGCATATTCTCTCTCTGTGTATATCTCAGCTAGAGTGGAATGATGCAAATTATATCTCACTCAAGTCTACTTGACAATTAGATCAGAAGAAATCAGCAGGGGGAGTATTTCACAGCATGGAGATAAACATTGCCTGGTTGTAATGCCTACACAGACAGCTACTGCAGAAGATATTAGCTGTTCAGCCAATTAGAAAGTTGGCAAGCCTTTTGCATGGCACCACAAACAAAATATTATTCACACACACACAAAGCAACCCAAAACAATACAACTGCTTGTAGAGCAATGTGTTGACCTAATCAAAACAATCCTGATAATAATTGTATGAATTGGCCCACAATTAACAGGGCTGATGGAAGCCATAGGAATAGGCTTTGAATTCAGAATGAGGTTGAAATCACCCCCAAAAGGTCTAGAAAACAGCTTGTTTCTTCCTGAGTCAGTGAGCAATCAAAAGCCTCTTAGTATATGAGAAAGGATGTATATGAATCTGTACAAAATCTTGCATTTTGCCTGTGGATTCCCCCTCCCACAGTAAGATATTTTTTTTCTACAAAATTGGCAGTCTTTAAGATCAGAGTTGGAAACCGAAGGTGATGTGAGGAGAGAATCCATCTATAAATTATCTCTAGTAGAAAAGTCAGAGCTAAAAAAAAAGGTAAGACCGCACCTGGAATACCGCATCCAGTTTTGGTCACCCCATTATAAAAAAAAGAGGTTGAGAGTTTGGAAAGAGTGCAGAGAAGGGCAACAAAAGGATGATTAGGGCCTTGGGAGCTTAAATGTACAAAGAATGGTTGTAGAAATTGGGCATGGTTAGTCTGGTAAAAAGGACTAGGGGTAACATGATAGCAGTGTTCTATATTTGAGGGACTGCCACATTATGCTACAAAGAAGAGGGGGTAAAGCTATTTTCCAAAGCACCAGAAGGCAAGACAAGAAAAATGGATGGGAACTTATCAAGGAGAAAAGGAACCTAGAACTAAGGAGGAATTTCCTAACAGTGAGGACAATTAATCAGTGAAATGGCTTACCTTCAGAAGTAGTAGATGCTCCATCACTGGACATTTTAAAGAGACTGGACAGCCACTTGTCTGAAATGGTACAATGTCCCCTGCTTGAGCAGGAGTTGGATTAGAAGACCTTCAAGTCCTTTCCAACTCTGTTAAAGTACCTTGTTTTAATCTTTGAAAAAAACATTACAATACAGCAACATGCTAATAAAGAGTAGCAAAAGGGCTGTAGAACAAATAAAAATTAAGAACAAATAAGCATTCAGTTTTCTCAAACCTCTCCTCCAAGTGAGTGCTGTTTTGAAGGAATAAATAACAGAAGTTTTGGGGGGAAATGAGAAAAAATATTCTATTGTCAGAAACTATTATTTGAATTCTCTGGATCACTTTTATTTGAAAGTAAAAATGGCACAGATGCAACATGAAATAGAAGTAATATTTTTTCTGTGTGATTTTCATGCATGGAAGTTTTCTTCTTATTTTTCATGTACAGATGAAAATAGACAAGAAAAAAACTTGAATTCTTAAAGTTGATAAATATTAGCATCATAAATGCCATCCATTTGTCCACAATCTCCTTACCATGATTCACATAACCAGATTGGCTTAATCCAGTTTTCATGCTTTGCATGACATGCACTGAGCCATAAAGTAACTATATTGACTCAATTTGCATAAAATGCCAAACCAACATGTGGGTTGCTGCTTTGGGTATTCTGTGAACCAAGCCAATACTCTTTGTAAAACACAACTTGTAGTTGTTTTGAGTGGCAGTACAAAAATATTATTGGCTATTGCTTGCCATTTTTTATTTATTTAGTGTGATAAGATTGGGACTGGGTTAGGAACTTCTGTCCTCACTGTGAGTTGTGTGTGTGTGTGGGGGGGGTGCACGAAGGGAGACTCGGCCAATCTCATTGTACACATGTTGTACTCTGACAATAAAGGTAATAATAATAATAATAATAATAATAATAATAATAATAATAATAATACAGAACAAATGTTTCCAACTTGACATTCTTCAGAGTGCAAATTTCAGAAGAAATTCTTATTTCGTTGGATTCTAAGACAGACAGAGAGGACCTCAACTTCCATGTTCAAAAGCAGAAAATCTTGGAAAGCCACTGGTGAAGAAAGTCCATTGCCCATGGCTTCTTTCTAGGGCAGTGGTCCCCAACCTTTGGGGCACCAGGGACCAGTTCCATGGAGAAGTTTTTCTGCAGACCAGGGGGGCTGTGGTTTCATATGCTGCTTGCATCCCATGGATGGGGCTTCGCTTGTTTGTGCGGCCCAGTTTCTGGCATAACATGGCCCAGTCCATGGTGACCCCTGTTCTAAGCTATCTCAAGATTTCTGGGAGGACTATTTAATCTAACCTTCCAAAGAACTTCTTATGCTTGTGGATTTAGTATATATTGGCAACCAATAGTTTTCGTTACCCCTGCCTTACAGTGCTGTTTCATTTATTTTTTATTTTTTTAATTTATTTTATTTTTAATGCCAGCGTTCAAATCTGTGCCAATAAGGGTTTCACTGATGGATGCCCAGGGATAAAAGTACTGTGTGGCACTCTGCATATGCTCTTAACTTCGGCTTCAGCCAGTTGCAGGCGGGAGGGAAACAGCGTTTTTATTCAACACCGCGCCTGCCGGCCGGCGAGCAGAACAAAAAGGCCAGGTGAGGGCGGCGCCAAGGCTGGCGGCAACCGAGGGCTGAGCGCGCGTTCCCCTTCTTCGTTCGGACGCCGCGGCTCCTTTTGGTCGCCTTGCGAATCGGGACTCGGCCGAGAGGCCGAGAAGAACCGGAGGGATTCGGCAGCAGCGGGAGGAACAGCCGCCAGCAGCTGCCGCCCTCCCTCCTCGCATCCGCCGGCATAGCCGCAAAGGAAGACCCAGAGCGAAGCATGGATGGCGTTGAGAGCCCGGACGCAGCTCCTGCCTCCTCATCTTCCCCCGAGTCCTCCAAGGAGCGCCGCTCTGCCCTGACCAGGACCAAGGGGCTCTCCATCTTCCTGGATGTAAGCGCGGCGGGTCCCTCGCCTCCCTTTCTCTGGCTTTGATCTGCTGGGTCCCTGGGCTTCAGAGAAGTTCCACCCTTTTCTCTTGTGAACGGGATGGAGGTTGGCGCCCCTCCGGGGAGAGCATCCTTTCCTTTCTTCTTTTCAATTATTGCAAACGTTGTAACAGGTTGGGGTTTTGCTCCTCTCTCTCTGCGCGGAAGCCTCAACCTGTTGAACGTTTGCCCGCCCCAGATCGATGCGTAGCAAGAGTTCCCTGATCTTAAGGAGATTATCCTATCAAATGATGCTAATACCAAGATCGCGGTTATTTGATATGGGCCCTCCTGGACTCCTCCAAATTAGATCCCTCTGGCTGAAGGATGAACGACCTGAGGCACAAATATCACAGGTTCTGAACCATGGCAAATATATTAAGCTGCTTTGCACTGTTCGCTATAAGAAAAACAGATTTAGGATAACAATTTTTCCATGCTGTTTTATTAGACATTTAAAAGCACAACCAAGAAAAGGGAAAGCATTTTTGATACCAAAATGACAGTTCACTAGTTCTATTCAAATTTCTTTTAATTTTTTTTTAAAAAAATAAATAAGTATGTAAAAATTGGCATTTACAAAATTAGTCACAATGATTCTGTCTGACAGGGTTGATTCGATTTGCTCTAATACCAGTGAGGTATGTTTCCAAAGCAAAAGAATTGGTTGTTCAGGATGGGAAATTTAGAAAAAGGTGTTGTGAATTTCAGTAATGCTAGATTACCTGACGCTTCCTTAGGATGGTCTCAAATGATAGAGATAAATCTTTGGTACAACTTAGAAGATCAGTGGATGATTGGTGGGTGTGGGCATTATGTACCCACCTTATTTTGTAGGCTAAGCAATAATTAGGAAAAATGGTTCCGGTCTTGGCTTGGGCAGGTGAGATGTGGTTTTTAAAATCAGCTGAGCCGTAGGGTGATTTTAATTCCTTTATTATCTCTGATTAATACATTTCATTAAATTAGTGTGGTGAAAAATAATAGGAGAGTATTCATGTACAACAGTTGGAACTTGTGGAGCAAAAGCAGGGTATAATTGTCATAAATGATAGAATAACAATTTGTTAGGACCACATTTGATTTAAAAAATAAATCAAAGAGAAAACGCTAACCTTTCAAATTAATTAGTGAGTTATTCTGTTGGATCTAATATCTCCTATGGAAAATAGAAGTCTATGCAGTATACATAGAATTTAATAAATATATTGTTTCATTTCAATATATAGGTGATTTTTCAATTCCCAATACATATAAAATGTTGTTCCCAATAACATTTTGTACATATACAAAATGTTAAAACATCAGTAAAAACCACAAGAAGATTATTGTTTAAAGCAGTTATAACGTTATAAAAAAGCAAAAAATAATCCTGGCACAGAAGTAGCAACAGACTATATTTAAAAACCTCATGTATTAAGTATCAGATAAAACATTTTATATTTATTTAAAAATTTCAGTATGTATTTTCTCCTTTCAAATCGAAATGCTTTTAGATTAGAAGCTCTTGATAGTGTTGGATTTGGAAGGTAGCATAAAATCATTTGTTGACAATTGTCCAAACATGTTGAATCTTAAACACTATTTTTTATATCTTCTATTAAATACTATTTGTTAAATGCTACTATATATCAGTAGCCTTAATATTCTGAAATCACTTATTAAAAAATATGTGATAATATGTGAATATCTGGTTAAAATTCATATTCATTGTCACAGGGGATTCCAGTCCTCATATAGATAAATCCATAAATACGGAATAGCTATAAATTTTGACAATGTTTCATGTAAATGGGTCACCGGTGTATTGGAATTCTACCTACCAGAAATCCATCCATTTAATTAAATGACGCAATTACAAATGTCTATTCTAATTCCTTGTTGAGGTGTTGGGATGCACTTTGGATCAATGTTTCCAACACCAGTCTTTTATTGACATTCCCAGAATGCCACAAAAGTAGAACATCGAATTAGAATACCTAGTCAGTGACAACTTCCCTATAATTCTCTTCAGCCAGTCTGATACATCATCCCACAATTGATTAGAAAGCTTGACAGAAGTGAACTGTTTTACCTGGCACCAAATACAAGGGCAATCTGGCATCTAATCAATTGCAACTGTGCACCACCTATTGGTCAAAAGAAAATACTATCGCTAAATGCAACTTTCTTCAAAAGTATAATTAGTACTGTCTATTGTAGTACTGTACTATCTGTACTGGGATCATAATTAGTAAACCTTTTTTAAAAAAGTCCTTTAAAACATTGCTAAGTTTACTAAGTGTGTCCTTGTAAGCATTACAATATTTCTTTGTTGATACTGATATATATATATATATATATATTGCTTTATTCCCTCTTAGATTCTGAGAAGAGCAGATAAAAATGGTAAGTCATTTGCTTTTCTTTCTTAGAATAGAAATAAAACAGTGAGGGAGTTGTAGGAACATTTCGTTCAGGGTGTCAAACTTGATTTCATTGAGGCCCACATCACGGTTGAGTTTGACACAGGGGGCCCGGGGGCATGGTCAGGATGGGCATGGCCAGCTCGACATCACTCATGTCAGGGCGCCTCTGGTGGTCCAAGTGCTCTGCCAGTGAAAGCAGGCTCCCGACCTCTGTTCTGGCTGCGACGGTTTCCTGCAACCCTCTGCCAGCGAAAACTGAGCTTGGGAGGACCACCCGCGGCCTTCGCAAGCTCTGTTTTTGGGTGTGAGGGCCTCCTTTAGCCCTCTGCCAGAAAAAACTATTTCATATGGTGTCTTACCAATCTATTGGGATTACATTGGGCGGGTCCTTTGCTATTTCCAGGGGCCAAATCTAAGCATCCCATGGGCTGGATTCAGCCCATGGGCCTTGAGTTTGACACCCCGGATTTAATTCAAGTTGCTCTGTTTCCCTAGGAGAGGCAGTGGCTTGTCACTTCAAAATTACCTGGCTGAGAAGCTCATCACTGGCAACTTGAAGATGTGTGGACTTCGACTCCCATGCTCCCTGGGAAATACTGGGAGCTGAAATCCACACATGTTAAAGTTGCAAGGTTTTGAGAAACGCTGGTCCGGATGGTACTAATTGTGGGAATCCACAGGGGATTCTGGGCAAGGGATGCTATGCTTGCTATTGTGCCATCATACAAATGATACAAATGACATAATTCATGTGTGCAATCATGTCATGCGTACATCATTGTAGCTTGCACTGGGCTTCTATCATGCTATCTCCATGGAGATCATCTGACTTGTTGGGATATTTGGTTGAATAGGAATTATAAATCTATTCAAAGCTCTTTATATATACAAGCTTGTTTACACATCATGTAAAGCCATGGCTCAACCATTATTTGCTGAATAAATAACAATAGTGAGTCCATATGTCATGACAAGTTATAAAAGTTATACAAATTATAGTTCATAATCTAGAGTGGTTAGGCTTTCCCACACACTGTGAAAACAAAACAAATTAACCGTTTAAGTCCTTGACCTAAAAATATTGTGCATCATTCTGGCAGTAATGTGCACTACTAGGTCAAGGACCATAAACGGTCCAGTCATGGGTTGGACAGTGGAGTCTCTCCCTTTGACACACTAATGTTACACACAACATTTATACTTAGGCAGGTCCATCCCTAGGGATTTATACATCTCCTAGAGCAGGGGTGTCAAACTGGATTTTTTGGAGAGTTGGATCAGCATTGTAGTTTCCTCTGCGGGCCAATGGGTAGGGGAGGACACAGGACAGATGGCTTCCTACAGCACCCTCCCAACCAAAACGAGGCATACACCCAAACCCTGTTTTAGCTGGCAGAGTGCTGCAGGAGGCTGACCAGGCTAAAAATGGGGCAGGGGGCCGTCCCCTGTGCCCAGGGGTGGGATTCAAATTTTTTAACAACCGGTTCTGTAGGCATGGCTTAGTTGGTGGGCATGGCTTGGTGGTCATATGACTGCATGGACATGGCTTGGTGCTCATGTTCCTGGCTGGACATGGCCAACTCAACATCACTCACATTGAGGCATGCATCTCCTCATCTGGCCTCTCTCGTGACTGTGGGGATGCTGCAACAGTCGTAAGTGTGAGGTCATAAGTCACTTTTTTCAATGGTCACTCCACACAAGCAAAGTACCAGCAAAGGAGAGGAAAAAAAACTCCAGAGAAGTTTCTGAGACAGGAAGTCTAGTCCTGCCAAGAATGTAATAAGGGTTAATGGAGAGGCAGTTTCTGTAAGCAACACCAGAATGTTTCCTTCCTGCCTTCCTTACAGGATTAGGCCAGTAATTTCCTCTAACAACCGGTTCTCCGAACTGCTTAGAATGTTAACAACCGGTTCTAGCAAATAGGTGCCAACTGGTAGAATTCCACCCCTGCCTGTGCCCCATTTTCACTAGCAGAGGCACCATGGGCAGGTCCTTTGCTATTTCCAAGCTGGTTCCGTGGGTCAGATCTAAGCACCCCATGGTCTGGATTCAGTACATGAGCCTTGAGTTTGACACCCCTGTTCTAGAGGTATTTAATCATTGTTGTGCCCCTTAAACAGTAATCACAGTTTTAAGTCACCATAGTGATGGCCAGAAGGGAAACAGCTTTAATATGAAAATGGGAAAAGCCCTGACTATAATTTTTCCCCTCAGATATAAGTATTACAAATTCCCTGTGATGCCGGGAAAAGATACAGCTGCCCCGAAGAATTCCAGTCAGGTGCTACATGCTTTGAAACCCCTTTTTCAAACTATTGCCAGTGTCTCCCCACTTCATTGCAACATACCAGCAAAGCTTTTGCCTATTAAAAGGCACCAGCAGAGAAGATTTCATAGCTGGAGATGCAAATCTGGAACTGTGGAGCAACAGCTGTGCAGAGCTTCCAGCAGTGCTCTGAAAAAACAAGGCACTAAAAAATCCAATAATTAAGAACTGATGAAAAGCTGAGGAGGGATGGTTTGGAATACCTGATATTAGTATCATTCATAATATGCCAGGAAGAACAGCTGTGAACCAAATAAACAAAAAAAAAAAAAAAAGCAAATGAGAAGCACATCTGAGGCAGAATAGATGAAACCCTAAATAAAACTAATATGAGATTCCTGTTCTTGAACAGTTTTTATCTGTAGTAAAACAATTGGGGACCACATAAACTGACCTGCTGTTTTAAATATAGAACTGGCCCAGTTTCACACAGATCTGTCTAAGGAGCTAGTGGGAAGGATCCCATCTCCATGACAAAAGCCAATTCTACTTTCTCACCCCAAGAGAAACAATATACAACATATTCATCCTTTATTTCTAATTATTAGTATTGGGCTTTCTTTCTCTGTTTACAATATCCCCCCTTTCATGGAATTGCATTCAGAATGTATTAAGCTGCACTTAGTTTTTACTGCTTTTGTTAGATAAAACATGATAGTAATCCTTTTTCCAATTATTCTTTTTTACTATAATTTTTTTTTTTTTGCCAATTATCGTTTTACCACAAAAACAGCTGCAACATTATTTGAAAATGGTTTCAAAACCCATTAACTAATTTGTTCAAGAAAATATTTCTTCATTTAAATCACAGATTTTACTATTGATTATCTGGTTGAAATATCAGATGTTTAAAGTAAAATTAATAACACAATTCTATACAGTCTATTGAGAGTTATAGCCACCTGGATTCAGTAGAACATATTCCCAGAACAACAAGTAAAGGTTTTTACTATATGCAGTCTTATTGGTAGATCATATCCAGTCAACATCTACAAGATGAGGCTACAATATCATAATCCGTATCTGTCAGCCTCCATGATGCTTTCATGAGGCCTCAGGATGTTTGCTTGTTGTCAGCTGCCATAGAGATGGGGATGGGGGAAGTTTGGCATTTGGGAGAGGAAATTTGCTGGAGAGTGGAGATGACTTCTGTGTGAACCAAGTGTGGGGGATGCTCTCATGCTCACTGCGCAACTGCATGGACTTGTTTATGCCAGTCAAGGTCAACCATCTTGGCATACCAAATGGGAGAAAAGACACCTGAAGATGTATCCCACAGGATACCATACACACTGTAGATTGGACGTCCAGTCTGGGATTTTGGGAACTTGGGATAACTTTCAATATGCAATTTTCGCACCGATTGCCTCAGATCTTGCTTTTCTTTCGTTGCTGTCACTTCTAACTCAGTAAAAGTACCTTTTCTCTACAAACATGGAGTTGTGGGATTTCTTTCTTGGGTTTTAAATGGAGGCACGTCTGACAATGTCCTTCCACTTTGGCACTTTGAACAACATTAGAAAATGTATGAAAGGAGTTTGGATTGTTAAATTATATCCCACCATTTTGTAAATTTTAATACTTACGCGCACTGACATTATTTGAGGGTAGACATCTTTTGCGATCTGAATTCCCTCCAAATGTCTGGAATTCAATTATCTACAACATGCTGGTTGGGAAATACATAACCAGTATGAAGAAACAGAATACTACCTGGGCTTCAGTTGGGCATTAATTTTGCTTTAGCCTAATTCATAATTATGCTGTATAGCAACAGGCTTATTAGATATTAAAAGCTTTGTGTCTTTTCTGATTCACCGTACCTAAATGGCATAAGATTCTACAGATAATCTTTATTTAATGACCAAATTGGGACAGCAACCTGGCTGTTAAGAGGTTGCTAAAGAACTGGTGGCTGTGCTTAATTTCTTATTTCAGGTTTCCTTTGCTTTACAGACCTAGGAGGATCATAACTGCAAAGATTTGTATTTGTAAAACTATAAATTTTAAAAAACAAAAAAATGATTGTTTAAAATCATTGTCGTAACTGTGAATGGTGATAAATGAGTCAATCACTAAAAGAGGACTGCATTATAAGCATCAGTATAAGGAAATCTTCCTTTCAGAAATCTTCTTACTCCAACTATACTTAACATTATATATCTAGGATCCAGATGTTGGATGACAGCCTGATAAAAAAGCTGAGAGAATCATTGATGCATAATTATTAGATAAAATAAATGTGTTACTTGCTCAGAACAGGTTTCTATGGCTACTTGAGGAGATGCTAATGAAACACTTTAGAAAACAGATAGCTAAGACTGTGAAAGAACGTAAAAAGCACTGTTGCAAAGGAAATCGATACACGATTGCGATCTCTTTCAGTGTACCTGAAGTAACAACACTTTAGAAAAGATCTGTTCATGAATCATGTAAAGCAAAGCCTGCATTTTTAGTTTTAACTGAAATTGAATTTTCCTTTTGCAGTGGCACCCATTCAAGAAAAATTGATCAAAATTTTCTTAGGAAACAAATATTTAGCACTTCTGATGATGGAACAAATAGCCACAATATAAATGGATATGTGTGAAACAATATAGGATACACAATAATCCTGTTTAGTACATGATTCAAGCTGTGGATGCTCTGATACTGGAGGTTTTCCAGAAGAGACTGGACAGCTAATTGTCTGAATAGTATAGGGTCACCTGTGTGAGCAGAGGTTTGGATTAGAAGACCTACAAAGTCTCTTCCAACACAATATTCTATGTTCTATATTGGTTTCAAAAAAATCCATGTGACTATTAGAAGCAATGAAGTAAACATTATTCCTACATTACAATAAGATCCTTTTGGACAAACATGGAACATTATCTTCTGGTGGCCCAACCTTTGGAGTTATACTGATAGTTTAATCCAAATTTTGTCTGTTTCCATGGACCACAGATTACTGATTAAGTTCATGAGTCAAAAACATTGAGCAATAGATTATTTTAAAATAACTTTCCTCTAATAACCTAGAGTGGGAGGCTTCTGTCCAGTGGTGGGATTCAATTTTTTTTACTACCGGTTCTGTGGGTGTGGCTTGGTAGGCGTGGCTTGGCTTGGTGAACGTGGCAGGGGAAGGATATTGCAAAATCCCCATTCCCTCCCCACCCCACTAACTTGCTTTCCAGGTCCGTTCTTCTGTGCAAGGCAACAAAAGAAGACCCAGCCAATCAGCTGGGATTTGGGAGGCAGAGAATAGATGGGGGCAGGGGCAGTCAGAGCTGGTATTTGCCAGTTCTCTGAACTACTTAAAATTCCCGCTACCAGTTCTCCAGAACTGGTCAGAACCTGTTGAATACCACCTCTGATTCTGTCCAATTCATATTATTACTTTTGTTGTCCATTTTTAAAAGATACTCTATAAAGAAAGCTGAAGTTATTTCTGAGAGAAAACTATTACTCCTATTTCTGGAAACTTGAAAAACTAAGTCAAGGAAATTCCTATCTGCCCCTCTAATAATCTTCCCTCCCAATTTTAAAAGTTCACCTTTGTGAAGATGCAGCAACAAAAGGAGGTAGAAATGATAAGCTATTCAGGCCTAGGATGCAGTTAGCAGATTAGAATATCTTTGTTATAGTCACTGTATAGAAAACATGCATTCATGTAGCAGAATTTACAGGGTCAATTAAATTAGGAAGAAATTAAAATGATAGTAAGGGAGCAATAAAATGCAGTGGCTAGAGTGCCTAAAGGATTAAATATTGAAAACTAATTGCTGCACACTATGTAACTATTTTGCAAAGGGACAAAAGAACAACATATTCAGTTATAAAATACTGTGGAAAAACTGAGTGAGGAACATAAACCTCTCCAAATGTTTGTGAATTGTCAATAAAGGGGAAAAGTCTCGGCAGAGGTTAACTGTTGGACCTCCTGGACATTTCCAAATAGATTTCTTAGCAAAGTGGTTTCTCACCGTTTCTTTTTTGTTGTTCTTACTACTTCCCAAATTAGTCTAAAGCCCTGGGATTACATTATGGTCTGCTGTTGAAATTGTCCAAGATATCTTAGGTCGTGCCTCTTGCTATAAATTACTAGCAGCTCTAGCCAAAATAGCTACTAGAATTTGATTCTGAGAATCAGAAAGCCTTGTCACTAAAATGCCTTAAAATTATTCTCCCCTTAAAGGAATTTTATTTATCTAGCTGCTAATATTCTTCTGAGAAAATTGAAGTTATTTTTGCATATCTCTTTTTCTGTGAGAATGCCATTATAAGGTTTTAACATATTTAACACTGGTAAATAAGACAAAAATGAACGTTCATCTTCTACTGGTATGTCAAGGGATAGTGAGGTAAAATATTTTTCAAGAGTAATCTTAGGCCCAGATAATAAATGACAGTCATATTTATATTCTGTAATAAGTAAGTAGCTGTGTCCCAAAAGAAATTAGAAACAAAATATCTCAAGCAAATTATTCCTGCCAATATCTTTTAATAGTTTTTCATGGTCAGGTTGTAGTACAGTGTTTTATATTGGCATATTGTTGTTCTTACATTGTTACGGGCAATACGAGAATGCAGAAGATACTGGTTTTTTTCATGGTTTAGGGGTTCCTGTTTTCCAAACGCTGAGCGATTATGTTGCAATTGTATCTCAAACCATAATGATCCAGAAGATGTGATAGGTGATTGAAAGAATGGGCAACTCAGTAAAATAGAAACACCAATTTATTGTCACTACATACCATCATCACAGAGGCATTTCATACAGCTGTGAATGGAGCATAGTGCTTTTCATACAGCAAGAGATGGAACTGGTTGCTTTTTTATTGATTATGTGCCATTAAGTTGGTGTTGATTAATGTATAAATCCCAACCCAGGCAGAAAGTAACTGGTTGGACAAGACTACACTGAAAGTTGTGATAGGAAAACAAAAGTTCTTTTCATACATTTCCTCCTGCAGAAGAAGGAACCTTCAGTGTAATCTTATCCAATTAGTTACTTTCTGTCTGGATTGGGATTTATGACTCTCAGAATTGTTAATGAAGCATTTCTGGGAGTTGTAATCCCAAAAGATTGGTAAGACACCATATAAAGGTATGTGGTGTTGGAATTTGGATCATCTCTTCGAGCAGATTTGACCATTAAGACAAATGGTAAAAAATACTGTGCCTAAGAGGAAGACTCTTCACAGGCTATCCTTATGTCTATTTCCCATACGATATACAGTAAGCTTTATAATAATCAAGAATGGTGGTCCCAAGAATGATGTGCATTATTAAAAATCGAAACAAAACCCTTCACCTTTACAGTACTCATAAAAAGTCTGTAAGAACATGAACACCCAAATTTCACTGTGTCACAAAAATGACTATCTGTAGTCAGAAGAAACACATTTTTCTAATATAATAGTGTATTATACCTGTGTATGAGAGAGAGAGAGATTCTCATTTTATGCAGAAAAGTATAAACTACAAATATTACAGTCTGTGGTGCTTCCTTTTCAAAAGTCATGACCTTCAAATTAGTTGCAGTAAAATGTCTCTGGGTAAGAAATCCTTCTCTGATTTCAGATGATGGCAAATTGTCCTTTGATGAATTTAAGGCCTACTTTGAGGATGGAATCCTGAATATAGAGGAGCTTCACCAGCTGTTTCAGAAGATTGACATACACAATACAGAGTAGGTAGCATTGATTTTAAAATAATCAATTCAAAATCACAGAGGCAGGGACATTTTCTTGTACAGATTTTTCAGGTAAACTTTCTGCATTATAAATAATGTATGAAATGAATGCATGCATGAATAGCCTCATCCATAATCTACAAACTTTGAATGTTTCTAAGGATGCCGGCTACAGTAGTGAGATGGGTGAAGTGGAGAAGTGATCCATGCATACTCTGAGTAACAGTTTTGTATTGTCATATAAATGTTGAGAAAGTGCCTTTCCCCTTTTTATTTTCATTTGTCAATTCATGCCATTCTGCCATTTTAAACTATAGTTTTCTTGCATAAAGATATGTCAATGATTTATACCATTATCGGACCAATAGTAAAAAAAAAGTTTTAAAAATGCTATTGTGCAAAGGAAAAATAAATCCCTTTCAAAACTGTCTATGGAGATTCTTAGTCATCCAGGTTATGGCTGTCCCCAAGGTGCTTTTCAGAAGACAACTAGACTTTCTTGGGTTTTTATCCAAGAACTAAAGAAACTTCTTGGATGAGAAGTGAAACATTTTCAAGGAAAAAAACAGAGTCCAGTTGCCTTTTGAAAAGCACCTTTGGGATCCTTCCAAAACTGTAAAGCTGCTCTTATATAAACATCCCTGACGCCATTAATTCAAAAGATGAAAGAATGGCTCTACAAATTCTATTGGATTCCAAGAAGAATGTTATGCATACATAAACATGCTTTCCTTGTGCATGTGTATTTAAATATAATTTAGAGACGCCTCTCTCTAAATAAAAACCTCTGTGCCTATTTGTATGGCATTCAATACAGGAGTCCTAAGGCCTACAGACTCTCATTTTATGCTATCCAATGGGAAATAATCATAGCCATTTGTTGTCTTGCAGTTATATTAACAGATAACATGACATTCTGGATTTGGATTTAAGTTACAAATCTAATTTATATGCCAGCCAAATAAGCATGTCTTCCAAGTTACCAGCTCAGAGTTTGAATCATATACCATGATTAAAATATCCCACCATGTAGGGCTGGCCTTTATTGGGCTACATTAAGTACTGTAGGGTTCCCAGATCTGGGCTTTAGAAATTCAAATGATGATTAGAGAGCAGCATAATGATATTCTGTGATGAACATTAACTCTTTGTTCCCATCTGTGATGGTACATATTTTTGTAGGCCAGATTTGAAAGCCTTAAAGTTAAGCAGACATTGTGTTTGAATTTAGCAGGTAGTTACTATGAATATCTTGCTGATGGCATTATTTCTGCTTTGATGTTTGCAATTTGGTGCAGCTGCTATAAGCTCACAAGTCTTGGTAGATAGCAATAAAAAGCCATGGCAACCTATTTAAGATCAAAGCCTAGGGAAGAGCTCTGTCAATCATAAGCCTAACATGATAATTACATGTTTAACATTTAACATTTTCAAAAATGCAAATCAGAAAACTCACATTGGATCCCTCTTTTGCTAAAACTGATCTCAACATCAGTCTCTTTGACAATCTGAAATTACCATTAGAGACATGAAGCCCAGCTGGTATCTGCCACTACCTTCCCCATCTGTAGCAATTAATATATTAATAGCAGCTGTGCCTTTAAGCCTCTTTGCCATGGATTGTGAGCAGGCCCTTTGTCTGTTACATACCAAACCAGGCTCAAGACTGCTTTGAGGGTAAAAGTGCTTGCTTCCCAGCCTTTACGAATGGGTCCACTTTCCTGTGGTCCATTCCAGGAATCTCGAGCTTTGCAAAGGCACAGTTTGAGCAAGCTAAACTAATGTTCTTCTTTTACCAGAAGGTTGGAAGCATTAATAACACTTTATTATGCCTTGGTAAGACCACACTTGGAATATTACATCCAGTTTTGGTTGCCCAATTTTTTTAAAAAAAACCTTGAGACTCTACAAAGAGTGCAGTGAAGAGCAACAAAGTTGATTAGGGAACTAGAGGCTAAAACATATGAAGAATTGTTGCAGGAATTTGGCATGCCTAATTTCATGAGAAGGACTGAGATGACATGATAGCAATGTCCCAATATTTAAGGGGATGCCCACAAGGAAGAGGGGTGAATCTCCAAAGCACCTAAAGGCAGGACAAGAAGCAATGGATGGAAACTAATCAAGGAAAGAACATAGAACTATGAAAAGAAATTTCCTGACAGTTAGAACAATTAATTAGTGAACTGAATTGCCTCTAGAAACTACTGGAGATTTTTTTTTAAAAAAATAAAGTTTTATTTGGGTTTTCACACATACAAAATACAAGTAAAACATCTTTTTTGAAAATAGCATGGTCCCGGGTTGAACTTCTTTATACAGACACAAAACTCAATTTCATGCTCCTTTTTGTATTCTATTCCATATCTTATACTATTTTACATTTCTCTATATTTTGTTTCTTTTCCTTTCTTTCTTCTCTCTCATCTTCTCCCTCCCCTTTTTACCCCCTTGTCTCTACTTCTAATTCTCTCTTCTGCATTTCCGTCTTCTGTTGCTTTCTGATTTTATACTTATTTTTCACTCTTTTTTTTTTTTTTGGAGTTGTTTTTCCCAATCTTAAACTTTCCATTCTCTTTCCCCCCTTTCCATTTTTTCCCCCATCTAAGATTACTTGTTCATTAAAGATGGCTTCTTCTTTGTCGCAATCTTCTTGTTCTGCAGGCATTTCTTGTTGTTTCTCATAATTCCAAATCTCCATTTCTAAAAACTGAAATACGAAGCCAAAAGAACCTCTCCCTTCTTGTGCATCTTCTTTGTACTTTTAAAGTTCCATTTTCAGTTCTTCTAAAAGTGGAGCCATTTTAAACAGTTTTAAACAACCACCCGATTGATTTTAGTCATTCAAAACAATAACCAAGAATCCAGAAATCATCAAGTAATCCAGATAGTCCTGAGTTATATCTTCTTATTTCTTTTTCGACTTTCTCTTCCTGGGGTTTTTGTTGTGATATTTCAGTTAGAATATATTTTTTGGAAGTCTTGTTAAGATTTTGCTGTAACTTCTTTTTTAATTCCAGGCAGTCTCCTCCCTTCCAGATCCTGCCCTTTTATTCTTTTTCTCTCCTGTTTTCAAAAGCTTTTAATTATCCAGAAATCTTTATTATCCCTTTGACTTTTTATTTTCAGCATTAAATGCCTGTTAATGTCAAAGTGGATTTTTTTCCAATTTCTTGCTTAAGTCTCTTAGCTGTCAGTATAGGAAAAGGAGAAAAAAAAACTAAATCTTTTCCCTTTTCTCTCTCCTTCGCAGCTTAAAAATCTTCTTAGGGAACAATGTTATTGTTTTTTAATAGTTTCAATTCCAGGGTACCTTATTTGTTGCTTTTGCTGTTTGACCTGGTCAGCCAAAACTTTCTCTTCTTATCTTCCTCCTGCACATTCTTTTCCGGTCAAGTTCTTCTTTGTGGTGGCCATTTCTGACCACCGCTGCAACCGCCTTTGGGAAAGGGAGTAATGGCCAGCTGGGGAGGAGAGATGCGGCTCTCCTCAACCCTGCTGGCAGTCTCCCCCCTCTTCACCACCTCTACAGGGTGGCTTAGCCCCGAAACCAGCCGGCTTGGGATGCTCCAGCAGCGAGCACGGATCAAAGCCTCACAGAGACAAGGCTTCAGTCTGTCGCTGAAGAAGCTCAAACCGGAAGCCAAAACTACTGGAGATTTTTAAGAAGAGGTTGAACAACCATTTGTCTGAAATGATACAGGGTTTCCTGCAGGAGCAGGAGATTGGACTAAAAAGACTTCCAAGGCCCCTTTCAACCCAGTTATTTATTATTTATTTATTTATTTATTTATTTATTTATTATTTATTTATTTATTTATTTATTTATTTGATTTGTCAATCGCTTACAAGGTACAGGTATAAAAATAAACATAGTTTTGAATACATGAGATAGATACTTATAAGAAAAATAAAAAGAAACAATAGGACAAGGGACGGTAGGAACGTTGGTGCGCTTATGCACGCCCCCTACAGACCTCTTAGGAAAGGGGTGAGGTCAATAGTAGACAGTCTAAGGTTAAAGTTTTTGGGGTTTGGGGAAGAAACCACAGAGTCAGGTAGAGTATTCCGAACATTGAGCACTCTGTTGCTGAAGTTGTATTTTCTGCAGTCAAGTTTGGTGCGGTTAACCTTGAGTTTGTATCTATTGTGTGCTCTTGTATTGTTATGATTGAAGCTGAAGTATTCACTTGCAGGTAGGACATTGCAATGTATGATTTTATATACTATATTTAGATCGGATCGGAGGCGGCGTAGTTCTAGGTTTTCTAGATCTAGAGTTTCAAGTCTGGTGGCATAAGCTATTCTGCAATGAATAGAGGAGCGGAGAACTCTTCTTGTGAAATATTTCTGGACTTTTTCAATTGCATTTATATCAGATACATGATATGGGTTCCAGACTGATAAGCTGTATTCAAGTATAGGTCTAGCAAATGTTTTGTATGCTCTAGTTAGTAGTGTGATATTACCAGAGAAGAAGCTATGTAGTTATTGTTATTCCATTATTTGTTAACACGAGGCAGACACAAAAGAAGATGGAGAGACACCATCAAAGACAAAAAAATTTTCGGGTAAGAGTTGGTTTCCACAGTGATAAAGAGTCATGAAAGTATAATTCAAACAGCCAGCTACCAGTTTCTCTCATTTGGGCGAAAAACAATGCTCCATTTCCCCAGAGCATGGGGAAGCTGCTACAAAGAAAATAAAAAGTCACCACCCTAATATACACAAAATATAGTGATTCTAAATGGAAAATGTTCACTGCTCACTGCTGCCAATTGTATAATGTTCTTCCTTTCCTACCAATAAATCTTGCTAAAAGTATTCTGAGATAGAAAGAAGCACTTTCTGCTTTAACCAACTGTGCAAAAGCCTGATTTTGCCCTAGGCAAAAGGGAAATAGTTTGATCAAATGGCGAATCCTATGTTCTTCTTTTATCTATCAAAGGGAAAGGTGGGTTTGGCCAACTGTCAAAACTTTATTTTTCCTTTGCACAAGCTTGTTGAATGTGCTTGTAAATATGAGAAGGATGTTGTTGTTTTAACCATTAAATCATACCCGATTATTCGCAACTTTGCAGGCAAGTGCTCTCCATGCTATTTTGAACTTCCCCATTCATTCAAGAATGCACATGAGTAACAATGTTGTTAGGGTTATAGCATCATAGTTGTAGACTGCATTTGTTTGCTTGTTTTTCATTTTTCTAAACCATCTATCTCAAATTGAGGCTTTTGTACCCATGTGCATGCATTGGGAAATCTGTATAAGGCAGCCATGTACATAAGCTGTAGGCATGGAAAGTTCTCTTCAGTTGGCATGGCTACATAACTGGGGTTTTCATGATACCGTTCTATAGATATTCTAAATGTGCCATTTAGCAACTGTTTCAAGCACGTTAATCTGCCTCTAATCATGGAATGTCCGTAGAACGTCTAATTTAGATTTTTATGAATTTGTATGATATGATTTTTTTTTCTAAAGCAGAGCACATTAAAATTACAATTATGATTCATCACACAGTCAACCAGATGTTCAGACTGGAACTTTTGACACACACTGATTATTATGGTAGTTTCAACTGTCTTTCAAAATATGCATCTATCCTTTTTACAAATGGAGCCATTGAGAAAAAATGTTTAGGAAGCATTTATTGCAATTATTAGTGGATATATCTGCTTCTACTTTCACTATTCTGTCCCTTGAATGGAAAAAAAAAGGAGGCACAGGATCTGCCTCGAAAACTCCTTCAATGTGTGTGGTTTCAGTTTCCAAAAGGCTTGCTGTTCAGAAAATGAGATCAACTGTAGGGGGATCAGGGGTCCCCAACTTCTGAACCAAAGCCCATTAGTGGGCCATGAGGTAGTTGCAACTGGAGGGGGGGAATAGTAGGCAAACATGTATGCAAACCCATCTGCACTTGTGTGAGCAGCATGCAAGCATGTGCACACGCAATCCATTTGTGTGAGCATTGAGTGCACATACACACCGCTTGTGCAAATAGAGTTGCAGGGAATCATCCCCTCTCTCCATCCCCTCTGGTCCCCAAAGCCAGAAAGGTTGGGGAAGCCCATGCTTCTCTGTCCCAGAGCCTGCTCTCTTGAACAGCTTTCCCTCAGAGATACAGATGGCCTCCATCCTGTTAGCCTTTAGGAAGGCTTTAAAATCTAGGTTTTTTTCCAAGTCCAGGGGCAAGATATTAAGCAAGCTTGCCATATACAATTTGAGCAAGAAATTGTTTTTAGTGGGTTCTGGCCCATGGTACACGGTTCTCATGGTTTTGTTGTTGTTATGGTTCTATTTTTGTTACTCAAATCTTTTATTTTGGTTTTTTTAAGGTCTTGTTAGCTATCCCTGAGTAAGAAGAATAAAATAGGCTGCTGTATAAAGTGTTTAAATAAATAAGTTGAGGGAGCAGTTGCTTCCTGAATTTTCTTCTTTTTGATCCTTCTTTCTGTCTGCAAATATGCATAGGTTTTTTCATTTCTTTTTTAAAAAAATAAAATTTATTGAAAGTTTTAAACAATATAATACAAACTAAAAAAGAAAAGAAAGAATGAATAGGTGTAAGAAAAAGGAAAAAAGAAGGAAAAGAGGAAAAAAAATATTTAAAGAAATAACTTCCAATCTTCATTACAACAAATACAAACAAACATAGCAATTCTTTACCGCCCTATAAAGTTACATGAAAATAGCTCTTCTTCCGATAATCCATCCCTTATCCATATACAAATCTATAACTCATTAACATTTCAGCCCTGGCATCAGCAAAAGTCCATAAAGCGTTCCCAGATATTATAGAAACATGTCTATTTTAACCTTGGTCAAACAAACCAACTTTGCACTTCTTTCTTTTGCTTCTAGAAATCTTAATCATTTTATTCAGATATTGCCATAGGATTTGATGCCTCTTCAGATTTCCTTATCGCATTGCAGAAGCTTCTTCTTTAACAAACCTCTTTTGTAAATCCTGCAAAAAGTCACTGTCCAGGACATCTTGGATTGTCATTTGTATTTTCATTTTAATTGTCATATCCATTTTATAATCCACATTTTTCATTTTCTGGTATGTCAACAACTTCTTTATATTCTAAATTTTCTACATCAATTAAGGCTTATTCCAGCTCTCTATTCTGTGGTTCATGTAGAAAGAGACAGGTATTCTCTTTCAAATTGGTCATTTTGGTAGAGAAAAAATAGTCTTTGAAGTACTTTTTATGCTTCAAGGCAGCAAATTGAATTTATAGTTGCATCTTTTATTTGAGAAAGTTTCTTGTCATTAAGAAAGGAAGAATTAGGGGTGATAGGATAGCAGTATTCCAGTACTTGAGGGGCTGCCACAAAGAAGAGGGGGTCAAATTATTCTCCAAAGCACCGGAGGGCAGGATAACAAACAATGGTTGGAAACTAATCAGAGAGATGCAACCTGGAAATAAGGAGAAACTTTCTGACAGTGAGAACAATCAACCAATGGAACAGCTTGCCCTCGGAAGTTGTGGGAGCAGCATCACTTGAGACTTTCAAGAAGAGATTGGATTGCCATTTGTCAGAAATGGTGTAGGGTCTCCCGCTTGGGCGGGGGGTTGGACTAGATGACCTATAAGGTCCCTTCCAACTCTGATTATCTGTTATCTGTTATTACCTTGCTATGCCATTTTCAACTGTTCCATTTTGCATTTAATGGTAAAGCATATTTCAAACTTGCTATTCAAGCTTGAAAACTTGGAAATTTTATTTGAGATGAAATTGAGCTGCATATCTAGTTAATAAATATCTAATAAATAAAGTGTATGTAAACTTTAATCCATGCAAATAACATACAAGAAATTAAAAACTGGTCAAGCACACTTGATAATAACTTACAAACTCACACGTAAGTTACTAGTAAGCCTAGTTAAAAGAAGTTGAACGAATTCACAAAATAGCAATGCATTTTCTATATTATATCTTTTCCTTGCAGCAACTTGGAAACAGAAGAATTGTTTGGTAAGTAATTCTTTTTTAATTAAAATAAAATAATCAAATTCATCGCTTCCAGGAGGAGAGAGAAAACTAGTGAGTCTGAATAAGGACAGTTGAGTTTGTTTTATTGTTAGTGCCTAAGAAGTAATTTGATTAAAAGAAAGTCATAAATATAATGAGAATGTTGAAAAATGGTAAGTAGATGTGTACACAGTGGTTTTATTCAGGGGTGGGATTCAGTTTTTTTAACAATTGGTTCTGTGGGCGTGGCTTGGTTGGTGGGTGTGGCTTAGTGGTCATGTGACTGGGTGGGCATTGCCAACTCAACATCATTCATGTCAGGGGCGCTTCTCCTCGCCTGGCCTCTCATGACAGTGGGGATGCTGCAATGGTTATAAGTGTGAAAAATTGTCATAAGTCACTTTTTTCAGTGCCATTGTAACTTTGAATGGTCACTAAATGAACTGTTGTAAGTCAAGGATTACCTGTACAAAAATACAAAAAGCTTATTTGCTTGCAAAAAGCTGCCCTAAATACCAATCATTAGATTAAAAATACCTGCAAGCCGGAGTTACAAATCAGGCAGGATGCCAGAGCACCTTGAGGAATGAAAATAGTTAAAATTCAGTGATAACTATCAAGCAGCCAACTCTTGCTCATAAAGTGAAACCCTTTAGCAGAGAGGTCATTTAAGCTCTCCAGAAAAAGCACACCCAGGAAAAGCAATCCTTAGATCCATTTGCACCACTTAAAAATACCAGCTGGTCTCACTCACCTCACAAGATATCCTAAGGAAATCATCCAGATTTAAGGAAAGGTCACATGCCCCCCAGAAAGGCAGTAAAAAAAATCAGTGCCAAGCTTGCATCCTGCCTCTTGGACGTATACCCCAAAAGGACAGTGCCAAATAGCACTAAAGCAGTGAAGGAAGACCCGCTCCCCAGATAGAAAAAGAAACCATGAGGCAGGAAAAAATTCAAACACAATACAAATAATTACATCATAACAGTAGCTGTTGCTTGTTGAAGCTGAATAGTGAAAATTATCCCATCAATAAACACAGGATTAAACGTCACCAAGCACAGAATTAACCTTCACCAAAAAACAGTTTTAGACCAAAACTCAGAAAGAGTATATAAACCCACATTTGAATGTCAATCTTTCTAGCTAGCCAAGAACCCTTGCTGAATGTTACTCATCTTGATTCCTTGTCACTAAAAGCTTTGCTTCATTATTCAATTATTTCTTCAAAGTGCTGATTGTCCAGGGAAGTTATTTCCTCCCAACAGCAGTGTAAAAATCTTAAAACAACCCTTCCCCTTTAAGAAAGCCAAGCCCCAAAAGCTCCAGAGACAGTAAGTCTAGGCTGTCTGCCAAGAATGTAATAAGGGTGGAAAAAAACAAAAGGAGATTGCTTCTAACTACCCCTTCTCCGAACTGCTTAGAAAGTTAACAAGGGGTTCTATAGAACCAGATAGAACCGGTAGAATCACATCCCTGATTTTATTTTAGGGGGTCTTCAGATCAAAATTTTACTCTTCAGCAGATCATTGAACAACATATGACTGTGAGAAAGTTTATTGTACAGTTCTTCATTAAGAGAAAACATATGATAAGGTGGCTGGAATATTATGTATGAAGATAAGGCAATAAAGATGAACTATGATGAAAGTAAAGCTTGCAGGAGAATAAATAGAATACTTCACAAATATTTCAATGTTGAGTAAGGAGTAGTGGGTATGATGTCCCCTTAGTTCTTTAATGCAGTAGTGGATAAATTTTCCTTGGGATGCATGTGATGACTTTAGAATTGTGTTGGTTGGGGACAGGAATATGCCTGTATCTGTTTACATAGGCAATATGCATTGTTATATTAAATATCTCGTTCATTTTTTTTTAATATAAAAATCTTTTTGGAAAGATATTTCACCCTGATTTCCCTAATTAACCTTTATTATAATTTCTGAAGCAAGCATATAAACCCCATCTTTCATAAACTACACTTTGACATTTTCTTTCTCTGCATGTTCCTCTTCTTCCTTCTTTCTTCTGCTACTGCTAAAATAAAACCAGAACAACGTACATGCAGAGGGATTTACCACTTTTACCCAGTATTAATAAATTAATAAACTACTCTCCTAAAGGATTTGGGTGACCCAGCTTATGGTCCGCTCTCTCCTTCCCTCCCTCCCTCCCTCCCTCCCCCTCTCTCTCCATTTTGATTTTTCAATCTTTCCATTTTTTGATTTTGTATTTCTATTTATTTCAGAATATTTTTCCCAGCACCTGGGAGCTTATGAAAGCGTCCTATCTGCTTTGGAAGATCTCAATGTAGCAATACTGAAGGCAATGGATGCTACAAAGAAAGTAAGGTCCCTTGTGTTATTTTTCAAACTGTCTGATGTAATGGGGGCTTGTATTGCTTAAATATATAAGGATTTTTCTCTGTGAGAAAAAAAAATGCTATATTTGCTTAGATGGAGGACAAAGTGATCATCAATCCCAGTTCCATCAGCTCTTTCAAGCTTGTTTGAAATATTTGTAGGGCCTGGGCATAGACAGTTAAATTGACACATACACCCATCCTCTCTACTACATACTATACCAGTGTATTTTCCCCCACTGTTTCTTCTTAACTGTAGCCAGTGGTGCATGGAAACTCAAAATACTAAATAATATTGAGATTAATATGTAAAGAGATGTACACTATTTTACTGCCTTGAAATAAATGAATTCTCATTTTTTTATCACTTCAAATCCTAAAGTCTAATTTGAATGGGGCGCTTAGCACAGATGGAAAATGTTTATCGACATGATAACTGCATACAGTCCTAGCCCACCAGTATATCAAATTGACAGATAAGAATATAAGGTGGTCCAACAATATTAGAAGGGCCTACTAGGTTCTCAGGTTTCATTTGAAAAGGTATGGGGAAGGAACATGGAAGTTATTATTTATGAAATATAAGCAGTATAAAAAATGCTGCTTTCTGAACAACAACTTTAGGAAGGTATCCAATATCCCACTTACTTTAGTGAAAGAATAATGCTTTTCATGAAAAATGACTCAGGCTCAGTTCCTAATATAGTAAAAAAAAAAAAAACGGAATCATGGAGTCACAGCTAATCAATAAGTCTATAATGAGCTATATTGGGGTGGATAATCTTTTTTAGCAATGTAACATTGGTTTCCTTTGCTCATGTCATCACAAGCTTCTTGCAAGGCAAGGTGGACAAAGCACTTATCCAGACACTCTCATCTGAGACTGAACTCATTAATTCAAATCTGCGCCTTGAGAGAAAGATCATGCTGTGCTGGGCTACGTACAGTCGGATCAGGAAAAAATGACAATGCTGTTAGATGGGAAACTGAAGTCTCTCAAACAGTTTTATCCATCCTGGCATCAAGAGATGTTGGAGTATAACCCCAGTCAGTATTGTCTCTTGATCGACATATTTACTTAAAAAGAGCTCAATTAAGCCATGGAATAAAACTTCCATTTTAGTATCCACAGTAACTAGGTAGAGCAGGACCCGAGGGGAAAAAAGTACGAAGTTGAGCTATCTCAGTATTTCAGCAGGTTAAATAAATATTTATTGATTAGATTATTATATCCCACGGTTCCTTCACTACCTCAAGTTACTACATATTTTGTATAAGAACAATTGATCGGATTAAGAAAGTGGGTTGTTAAATTAATTTTCAGCACAAAAGACAGAAATGAGCAAACTTAATTTAAAATCCCACAGAGCCATGACTAACATGACTGGACACTGAAAAAGCTAAACCTGCCTTACTCTGGCCTGGGTCACTGGGTCTTAAGCTGCTAATGCACTTGCTAAACTGTAACAGGGGAAGCAATTTTGGCGAGTGCTTTGTTTGAATCTAGCAACTGGGACTTAGCCAACTACATTTAAGCAAATTATGGTTCACTGAGATTTATGAATGCAGTATCAAACTAGGTATGTAGCTAATCAACTCTTTCAATTTCTCCAAATAAACCTTTATAATCTCTCCCCACAAAGATTATCCCATGGTTTGAAAGCATCTGATTCCTCAAACGTATGGATCAAGCCAGGGGTGGGATTCAAAAATTTTAACAACCGGCTCTGTGGGCATGGCTTAGGTGGTGGGCGTGGCTTGGTGGTCATGTGACTGGATGGACATGGCTTGGTGGTCATGTTATTTGCTGGGTGTGGCCAACTCAATATCACTCACATCGAGGCACACATCTCCTCGCCTGGCCTCTCATGACTGTGGGGGATGCTACAACAGTCGTAAGTGTGAAAAATGGTCATAAGTCACTTTTTTCAGTGCCATTGTAACTTTGAATGGTCACTCCACACAAGCAAAGTACCAGCAAAAGAGGGAAAGAAAACTCCAGAGACGTTCCTGAGACAGGAAGTTAGTCCTGCCAAGAATGTAATAAGGGTTAATGGAGAGGCAGTTTCTGTAAGCAACACCAGAATGTTTCCTTCCTCCCTTCCTTACAGGATTAGGCCAGTAATTTCTTCTAACAACCGGTTCTCCGAACTGCTTAGAATGTTAACAACCGGTTCTAGCGAATAGTTGCGAACTGGTAGAATCCCACCCCTGGATCAAGCCAAGAAAAGCTTCAAATGGGCACTTTGCTTCAAAGTATATCACAGCATCTTATCTCTGAGTAACCACACTTCTTTAACTATCAACTAATCTTACACAGTGGTAGGATTCAAATAATTTAACAACTGGTCCTTTGCCCTAATGATTTCTTCCAACCAGTTCACCAAACTTTTCAGAAAGGTAGCAACCGGTTCTCCCAAAGTGATGCGAACTGGCTGAATCCCACCACTGATCTTACAGAGTAAAACATATACACTGCTAAAAAAAAAAAAAGGGAGCACTTAAACAACACAATGTAACTCCAAGTCAATCACACTTCTGTGAAATCAAACTGTCCAATTAGGTAGCAACACTGATTGACAATCAATTTCACATGCTGTTGTGCAAATGGAATAGACAACAGATGGAAAGCAAAGGCAGTTAGCAAGACATCCCCAATAAAGGAGTGGTTCTGCAGGTGGTGACCACAGACCACTTCTCAGTTCCTATGCTTTCTGGCTGATGGCTTGGTCACTTTTGAATGCTGGCGGTGCTTTCAGTCTAGTGGTAGCATGAGACGGAGTCTACAACCCACACAAGTGGCTCAGGTAGTGCAGCTCATCCAGGATGGCACATCAATGCAAACTGTGGCAAGAAGGTTTGCTGTGTCTGTCAGCGTAGTGTCCAGAGCATGGAGGCGCTACCAGGAGACAGGCCAGTACATCAGGAGATGTGGAGGAGGCCGTAGGAGGGCAACAACCCAGCATCAGGATGCTACCTCTGCCTTTGTGCAAGGAGGGACAGGAGGAGCACTGCCAGAGTCCTGCAAAATGACCTCCAGCAGGCCACAAATGTGCATGTGGCTGCTCAAATGGTGAGAAACAGACTCCATGAGGGTGGTATGAGGGCCCGACATCCACAGGTGGGGGTTATGCTTACAGCCCAACACCGTGCAGGATGTTTGGCATTTGCCAGAGAACCCCAAGATTAGCAAATTCGCCACTGGCACCCTGTGCTCTTCACAGATGAAAGCAGGTTCACACTGAGCACATGTGACAGATGTGACAGGGTCTGGAGACACTGTGGAGAACGTTCTGTTGCCTGCAACATCCTCCAGCATGACAGGTTTGGCAGTGGGTCAGTAATGGTGTGGGGTGGCATTTCTTTAGGGGGCCACACAACCCTCCATGTGCTCGCCAGAGGTAGCCTGACTGCCATTAGGTACCGAGATGAGATCCTCAGACCCCTTGTGAGACCATATGCTGGTGCTGTTGGCCCTGGGTTCTTCCTAATGCACGACAATGCTAGACCTCATGTGGCTGGAGTGTGTCAGCAGTTCCTGCAAGACGAAAGCATTGATGCTATGGACTGGCCCACCCATTCCCCAGACCTGAATCCAATTGAGCACATCTGGGACATCATGTCTTGCTCCATCCACCAATGCCACATTGCACCACAGACTGTCCAGGAGTTGGGGGATACTTTAGTCCAGGTGTGGGAGGAGATCCCTCAGGAGACCATCCGCCACCTCATCAGGAGCATGCCCAGGTATTGTAGGGAGGTCATACAGGCACGTGGAGGCCACACACACTATTAAGCCTCATTTTGACTTGTTTTAAGAACATTGCATCAAACTTGGATCAGCCTGTAGTGTTTTTTTCCACTTTAATTTTGAGTGTAACTCCAAATCCAGACCTCCATGGGTTGCTAAATTTGATTTCCATTGATCATTTTTGTGTGATTTTGTTGCCAGCACATTCAACTATGTAATGAACAAAGTATTTAATAAGAATATTTCATTCATTCAGATCTAGGATGTCTTATTTTTGTGTTCCCTTTATTTTTTTGAGCAGTGTATTTTGGAGTCTAGCTTGATTTTAGTAATGAAGACTGCTAGCTGAATGCTTAATTTTCTTAAAATTTAAAAGTAAAAAGATTAAGAGATAATACTGCTTAATTAACACAAAAAAGAACACAATTGTTAACTTTAACCCTTTTAAAAAATTTGTCCAGAGCAGTGTTTTTTAAACCTGACAACTTAAGATGAATGGACCTCAACTCCAAAAATTTTCAGCCAGCAAGTCTACCCATCTTAGACCTGCCATGTTTGGAACACTACTTTAGTAAATTAATGTATCTTTGAATCAAATTCCCTTTCTGATTCAATTATTGGAAATTCTCTTTTTTTCTGAAAATAATCAGAGGCTGGAAGAGATTGTGACAGCATTTATTATCCTTTCTTCTCCTTTTCACCTGGAGCTCCACCTACAGGCTCTCAAAACTACAGTAGCCATTTTGGAGGGAGAGAGGCTGCTTCTTGCTTACATGTAGCAGCCCACATATGACAGAAAAGGTCGAGTCAGAATATCTAGTTTGTCTGGACTGCAGTTGACAGGCTGGATCAATGTGTTCATATGTTACTTCCCAGCACTTTTAAACCAATTATTGTTTGTCATGATATGTGAACTAAGTCAGTGGCTCAGAAGTAGAACAGTACAAGATGGGTATAGAATGCCTTCCTGAATATGAAAAATATGCATTAGGAATTTTTAAATTTTTTATTATTCTTTGAAAACAAACAAAGCCTTTGAAGAAATTTGAAGAAAAACAGAAGACTTTGAAGTATTCTGTTTTTGTTCAAATCCCTTCAAAGGTTTTGTTTGAATAGAACATTTCAAAGTTGCCTCACATGTGACTGAGTTTTATTAGCAACTTACGAATGACTAAAACTCTCACCAAGACAGGTTGAATTGTACTCTATTTTCTTCAGATGTTCCTTCCTGCA